CAGTAAGAGGTTTGTGTTGTAATATTCCTCACACGGTTCAAGGACTGTTCATGTGTTTAATGTTTATAAGATTTGTTTTTTGTAATTATCATTTTATTTAAAAGGAATTTTCTTTAAATATTTATAAAGAGGAATTGATCAATCATTAAATGATTGGTTTATACATCAATCCGTAGTGAAGTAAGATGTCACACATTGATGTAAACAACCAACAATAGAGATTGAATATTTAAACTAGCTAATAATTTATGTAGATTACTTAAAATCTTATTATATGTTGTTATTAACAAGACTGATAACATCCTACTGTTAATAAAAAGATGTTTGTGATTTGGAACAACTACCCACAATGATGATGGATGTTGTATTTAGAAGTTAAAAATAAAATATGATTTTCACATTTCACTATAAATTATATTGAAGAGTTATTTAACTACACTACCGGTGTTTGTACTTAAACATTGAAGTATTTGAAGCGATTGAAAATATGCTATTAAGACATATAAAGGAATTGTATATTTTTAGTTTTATTTACTTTAATTCGAATTGATTAAAAAACACAATTTAGATTCTTATAAGACTTTTAATAATTTATTAAGTTTTTTATAAAAAAATTTTTACATTTAATCCTAATTTTATTTATACTTTTTTTAAAGTCAAGTTATAGAGTGATAATAATGTCGTGTCTAGCGGTTAGACATTGTTTGATATAACGCTTGTTAGTTTTTATAATAAAATGTTTAGCATGAACCGTAATTTATTTATTTAATTTTCATTTATAATTTCAAATCAGGTTTCACATTAACATTACTAATTTATAACATTATTTTTATTGGTTGTACAGGATATAATAAATAAATTTCATATAAAATCTATTTTGAGAAATTAATTGAGTTTATTAAAAATAGAATGTTTACAACTATTTAAGTTTGTTATTTACAAAAGTAAGATTGTTAAAAATGAGAAATCGTTGTTAAGTATTTTTTTGATTTTGAAACTACTTACTTTTATTTCATATTTGTATCAGTTCAAACATTTCAGTAATTATTATAAATTGTTAAATTTTTGTATAGAATGACTCTTTAATAGATAAATTATTATCTATAATTCTTGTTTATTCATTATTATTGTTACCTCATTTGTAACATTGTTGTTAGATTTTAGAGTTTTCTCTGACTTGTTAAAACCTTCATTAAGATAATTGTCTCTGTTCATTTTATTCATTAATCAGTCGGTTTAAATTTTTACTGAAAAAAGTTTGAAGACAATTTTATCTTAATCTTACTATCAAATAACAGTTATAATACATATTCTTTTTCATTCATTTAAGTTAATTTGTTATACAATTTTCTATTTCTAGTATTATAAACAAATTTTACAGTTTTCTTTAAAATAACAAACAAATAATAAGATTAATAAATTTTTATAATACTTGAAATATCACTAGCATTTTTTCTTACTTAATAGAGATTATTAATAAAATGATTTCTTACAATAATATGTTTAATCTTTGTTTATTTAAACCACTTTCTGATTGTTATTGGCATCTATGAATATAAACAATAATTCTGATGATAATATAAGTTTTAAAACCATCAAATTTATAATTAATAAGATATAAATTCTCTAACCATTAAATTTTAATCTTTAAAAAATTTTTAGATAAAAGTTTTTTATAATCATTTTTTAAAAATTTACCCCTTAAAATGACTGATCATCATCATTATTATTATAACAATAATCCGCCATTTGGTCAACAACCTCTATTTAATACCCCGCAATTTAGTCATCAATCTTCATTTAACAACCAATTTCAATTTAATAAACCACCACAACAGATAGAAAATGAAAGTCTTACTTGTTTTCATATGTATAGAAAGTTAATCAAATGGATGACATACATTTTAATAGTATTGGTTCTAGTCCTTTTGTTTATTTATTTTTTAGATGAAGATGATGAAGATTCTATTTACTCAATGTTTTCAACATTTATATTTTTAATATATCTCTCTATATATCTATGTCTTTATTTCTTATATTTTTTATTATCTTGTTGTAATGATAATAAAAAATATAATAGAATAATTACAGTAAATGGTGTGAGTTATGTTGAAAATGCGGAAGATGATGATGACAAGATAGAGAAGGGTGTTAATTGCGTTAGTTTTTTATTTAATATCCTTAATTTAATTACAATAAGTAAAAGGAAGAAAAATAATAAATTTTAATTACAGAATTTTTTAATCTAAATTTAATAGATTAAGTTTTTGATTGATTTGTAGTTTCAGATCACGAATTTTTTAATTTTCTAAATCCTCATTATATTATCGCATTAATACAAATAAATCATTATTTAATGATATAATTTTATACACTTTCAGAATAGTATTCTAATTTTTCGATAAATATTTTACATTATACTGTAATCACCCAGTGTTGTACTAGGCGATGATTCGCAACATACATATTACACTTCTCATCCCTAAGGAATAATTCGGATACTTTTTTCCCTGTCATACGTTGATGTTTTATTTATATAATGTTGTCTTACTAATTTAATCACTATCATTT